TGTTTTGATTATTTTATTTACTGTTACTAAAAAATACAACTCTTTCGAAATCTAAAACTCCATGCCCACTTCCACATCCGCTGAAGGCCAGAAAAGGCAATTCCTTTACTTGTTATGAGAAGCTATTAGTGGCAGAAGTAGTACATAGGTTTGAGTTTTTAGGTATCTCAATAGTTACGTGGTTGATAATCTCCTTAGCTTCCCGCAGCTTCTCTTTCAAGCTGTCCACCTAGATTTTAAGTTAATTGGCTAACGTTTGAGACTTGTTTTCCATTAGAGATCTTTAAAGTAGAGTCATAAATCTTGGGCAATCAGAGAAAGATTTCATCTTCCCAAGTTCCTACAAGAGCAGAAGTGGGGATAATTAAAAGTAATAATAAGTGGAAGCCTGCATCACTATGGAGGACTTCCAGCTGCGTGCCTCTAACACCTGGACAGCTCCCTCTGCCCAGTGCCAGCCCCCTCCCACCCCCTCTGCAATCTGGCCACATCCAGCAGGAAGAAGAGAAATCAGACCCCCTGAGAACCCTTGATATGAACATAGGCACGTATTCATCGGGACTCTATTCCAGTGCATGCTACAATGAACATAGCTGTAATGTTTAATTTACTCAGATCAAAGCTAGCATGATCATTATACTTCAATAAAAAGAGTTTAAATGTACACTTATAATATGTGCCCTTGTCATACATACATTATATTTTTAAATCTGAAAATTTAATACAAATGTGTACTCCACCATTCCTCTGAATTTGAGCTGCATTTTTAGACTAACAACCAGATGTTTCAAAATAGCCTACTGTGAACCGTTTCCTCTCTCTGCATTTATAAATAGCACCCTGACCTCTTTTCCAACTGAATTTGAGGGCTTATTCCTAGTGATTCTGTAATTGTCAAAGTCTCTTTTTTTCCCTTAGGAAAAGAGGATATCTCAGCAAGTGTCTCCCAACTTATTGATTCATTTACTTATAATTATTCATTCCATAAATACTTAAGGTACACAATATACTCTCTCCAAGATAATAGTGGGAAATATTTGCAGTTCAAGATAACAGCACCTATTTATCTCATTTGAGAACAGTGCGTTAAAGTGCTACAAAAAAAAGTAAAGATGCAATGTCTTCTCTCAAAGAGTTTAAAACAAAAAGGGTAGATTGGACATGACCAAAGGAAAACAGCATGCATGTGAACAGTCAGTTCCTTACTACAGCGAAAAGTACCAATGCAGAAGGAGTACCAAAAATTGGAAGACTCTGATATACCCAAAATAGCACTTAAATAATAGTAAGAAAAATCAAATTATGTGACCTTGACTTTCACATGGTTTACATTTTAAGTATTTTTTTAGTACAGGGAGAAGTAGCACTAACATCTTTCATGAGTGCCAGGGGAACTCTCAAATCTCCAATCAGCTTCCTGAATATAAGTGAAATATGCAGTAATTTGATCCTCGAGGATGGAGTGCTCAATGAAGGAGCGATAGAGGAGAGCTGCAAGATGTGCAGGAAAAAAATGTAGCAAAAAGGAGACAGAAGCATCTGGGGAAATTCTGCATGGATGGAAATGGAACACTTGAATTGGAAGAAGATGCCTGCAGGCAACAGCAAGCAGATGGGAGTACCTGGGAGGGACCAAGAGTTCAATAAAAGGTGATGCCAGAAAAGGAAGCTGGACGTGGCGATGAAGGGCCTTCAAGGGCGGACTAAAAATTCTGAACTTCATCAAGATACTGTGAACGCATCTTGGCAACCACTTTCAACCATCACCATCCCAGCAAGTCCAAGTCTCCTGGTCATCAGCATGGAGACAATACTTCCCTTTTGCTCTTTCTTGACTATCTCTCCAACTCCAAAGGCTTAAACCATTCTCTTCCTAAAGCTATGTGACGTAACAGTCCCTCTGCAACCCATTTTTGTGAGAGCTACGAAGGCAGAAGCACTATTTGAGTATCCCTTCCCTGAGTATTCCCTCACCTACCCATGCACCTCTATACACAAATGGTATAACATAGAAACATCATTCTTCCTACTTCTCCTCTAGTAGTTTTATCCCTGAAGCTGCTCAAGACGATTTCTTCAACCCAGATCAGGACTCCTTTGTTTCCTCCATGGCATAAATAAGGAAGTTAAGTTTATGCTGAGTCAAAACTGTAACAAAATTCACAGATCAAATTTCTAACTAGAAAAGATCATGTGAAGAGAGTGTCATTAACTGTTAGCGAATTTAGGAAATACGCAAAATGGTTTACCTATCATTAAATATTTAATCTGGCTAATGCTTAAAAGAAACCTGAAATAATCAACTACAGGGGTCTAGGACTTCACAAAAAAAGTTGAGAAGACATCTCCTAGCCTCTAATCTCTCATCAATCACTTCTTGTCAAAGCTATGAAATATTTCCAACATTAATAACAAGTTCCCTCTGCCCAATTAATTTTTCACAGAGAATTTTTTAAACCCCACTGTTTAGAGTAATGAAAAGACTGGATCCAAAGAGACAATAAATAGCTTGCTGGGGGGGGGGGGGG